ACCCTGACTAAAATACTTAACTGTGCTTCTAAGGTTAGAGAATTATCAGTTCTAGGAGGAGGAGTGAGGGGCAACTATTTTGTATGAAAACTTCTGTTTTTGGTTTTCATACCTGCCAGCTCTTCCTACTTCCTTTCCTTCTGTCCACAGAGCTTAATAAAACTAAATACAGTAAGCTCCATTTTGAAAATTTATCTTTAGTTCCTCTAATTAATAAATTCTGTGTCAAAATTTCTGTTCTTAACGTTCTACTTATGCTTTAAATAGAGAAATTGTAAAAGAAATGCAGATAGTCTTAAAACCACTTTATATTTGTGTTCAGAAACTGAATTTCCTTTTGTATAAATATTTTAAAATTTATATTTTCTTGAAATTGAAAGCGTTCTTTAAAGTAGGCCAGAAGCCAGCTAAAGCTACTTGCACACAGACTAAGTTCTTTGCAGATGTGAGTAATTAGGGGGAGGGGGCTGGGAGGTGGATGGCTGCTCAGTTATGGTGTAGAATTACTCTGTTTTGAATGGGTTGTAAGTTTTCTCATGGCCCTTCAACTTTACCATTAAAAGGTAATGGTATGTTGGTGATTTTCCCTTGTGTCTCCAATATCTTAATTTATCTGCTGCTACAAAAATTTTCTAGTTCAGAAAATACGAGGAAAAAAATGTGAAATTTAAATATGTATATAACATAAGTCTCTGAGCTATTCATTTTGTGTTTTGGTATTCATTGCTGCAGGGGAATTTTTAACCCCAGAACACAAATGTCAGGTTCTGGACCTAGAACCTGAACCAGATGATGTAAGAATTTGGTTCATAAAATAATTTTAGTTTCACTGTACTTGTTTTTATAAAATATAGAGGTTCAATGACCACTTGTACTAGCTCACTAGATTTTTATCATCTAAAAAGGCTATAATGTTATAAAGGCTTTTGATTATTTCAGAAGAAAAATTATGAAGAGTAAACAATTTTTTATTCAATAATTATAAAGTAATTTAATGTTCTTTCTAATTTCATGTCATGGGAAACATTGTTTTGTTTTTTTTTTTAAAGATTGGCACCTGTGCTAACATCTGTTGCCAATCTTTTTTTTTCCCTTCTTCTCCCCAAAGCCCGCCAGTACATAGTTGTATATCCTAGTTGTGAGTGCCTCTGGTTGTGTTATGTGGGATGCCGCCTCAGGATGGCCTGATGAGCGGTGCCATGTCCGCCCAGGATCCGAACCAGCAAAACCCTGGGCCACCAAAGTAGAGCGCACGAACTCAACCACTCAGCCACAGGGCCGGCCCTGGGAAATATTTTTAAAGTAATACTCAAGCTTAGTTTTAGAAAGAATTTTTTAACCTAATTGCTTTTTAATTGAAACAATGTCATTAATATGCTTTTCTGAATGTGTCTTTGTGTGAAGTATTTATTCATTAATTGTTTACCTATGTAGTTTCCTAAGAAAACTGCTTATACAAAGATAATACTTTTAAAATGTTTAAACTTTTATCTTGGGGTTTATTTCCATTCTTTTACCTCTTGGTATAAAGAGCAATTCCTTTCAAATTTTCACTTGAGCACATATGGACATATTGTATACCTATTCTTTCATTTAAAAAAGAAAAACCCCGAGAGCTATCTCATATCCACCATTGCTATCAGTTATATATGTCAAAAATATTTCCCCTAACGTTTTCCTCAATTCAGATAGTGCTGAATGGAACCAGTATTTTTAATGAAAGTTGGGAGTAGGCAAAAAGTTAAACTTTTTATTCACTAGCTCAGGAACTAGCACATAACACCTTAGAATACTGCAGATGAGGAACTTGTCTGGAGTTTAAGTAAAACTTTAAAACATCTTATTTACATTCTGGAGTAGGGCAGAATGCGAGATGAGGGTGACAGATTGATAATAGTGAAAACAGGAAAAGGAAAAGAAGGAAGGAAAGTAAAGAATTAAAGGAAAAGATGCAAGAGAAGTGAAAGGGAAGGATGTGAGGGCTATCATTCATTCATTCATTCATTTATTCTGCAAATATTTTTTTTGCCCAGTGTATTAGGCACCTGGCATTACAAGCAGAGAATCAGAACAAGTCCTTGTGCTCTTCTGATGGATAAGACTGTCGTTCCATCCATTGGACTAATGGAGAAGAGGATGAAACGAAAGAACTAGAGCGGAGAGAAAGAAGGGACAAAGAGATATGAGCAGGGACGTAGAGAGACTGGATGCCTAAGGACAATAGAGACGGAAGATTAACTTCTGCTCACTCCTTTTCATGGCACAGAACTACATCCCTCTCTCCTCTATCACACTTACAGGGTACCTATCATTTGTTTCTGGCATCTTCTCTGACCCTATTCTAGATAGTGACCCTCTCAGGACGGTGAGGACCACACCCATGCAACCATCCATCTATAGGAAAAGTGTTTATTAGTGTCTTCCGTATGCCAGGCCAACATTGTGCCAGGCACAGGCATACAGTGGTAAACAAACACTATCACTGCCCTCCGAGTGGTTTACAGTCTGGTGTATGTATTTGGTGTCGAGTAAATGGGTAAATATTTAGTGATCTAGTGTGGTGAGTGCTGCTGAAGAGGTAAGTAAAATTTAGCTGCCTCTAAGGATCAGGAAAAGTTTCCTGGAGGAAGAGATAGCCAAGATGACCTTTCCCTTTGTTAGCACTTCCTTTTTAAAAGTTCCATCAGAATAAACCTATTTTGGAAAACCCTTTGTTTGCTTCATGGTTGAGAAAAAAATTTTAAATTTTGGTTTGATTCAAAAGTTAGTAAATTAGATCTGTTTGACCTGGTTTTTCATTGGTGGATGGCTTCAGGGAAAGTCCTGATTACACTTTAAAAATATGTGTTAAAATATATGTCCCCCCCAAAAAAGAATTCATACCCCTTTAAAAATGTTTAAAGTTTCAAAAAGAAAACACAAGAGCTTTTGTCCTGTATTTTTGCCATCCATTTTATACATGCATATGTATAGGCAGTACACTGTTGCAGCTTAATATGAAACAGATGCCCCTAAAGCAATGTGACTAGTCTGTGTTTAAAGTATGTGTATGTGCACCAGTGTATTTCCTGATTTGGAACTGCAGTTTTATCAGACTTTTAGAGGAAGAATTCCAAATCGTGATAAGTTGCACTGGATTTCATGTAAGAGCCCTTTGGAACATTGGAAGAGTCTCAAAGGACTGAACACTTTTTCATACTTTATGTCTTTTCATACAAACCTGATTTAGAGAAACTCATTGTCGCTGCTTTTTCCTTTACAGAAACTTCATAATAAGTCAGCATCCATTTGTAGTCACTGGTTCATCTGAAATCTGTAGTGGCTTCTTCTACTTTCTTTGTCATGAGCTTTGCTCTGTTTTGTCTTAAATTTTTATCTCCAGCCCTAACTGCTCCCCTGAACTCTGATTGCTCATTCTTAGTCTCTCCTTGGATGTCTAATAGGCCGTTTCAAATGTAACATAGCTAAAACAGAACCAGACTTCCTCCCACCTCCCTGCAGCCAAACCTGTTCCTTTTACAGTCTTTCTCATCTTAATTAATAAATGGCAACTATAATCTTCTTCTTGTTCAGGCCCAAAACTCGAGCATTATCCTTGACTCTCTTCATTGTCCGTAAGCAATCCATCAGTAAATCCTGTTGGCAGTACCACCCACTTCTCCCCATGTCCACTGCTACCAACATCCAGGCCACCATCATGTCTTGCCTGGGCTCTGACCATTTCGTCTACTTCCACCCTTATCTTTCTATAGCCCATTCTTTAACCAACAGCCAGAGTGATCCTTTCACAACAGAAGTCAGATCCATTCACTCCTTGGCTCAGAAGCAACCCAGTGACTTTGTCTCGTTCAGAATAAAATCCAGACATGGCTGTAAGTCCCTATATGATCTCTCTGATCTCATTTCTTACCCCTCTTTTTACCTGCTTTGGCTACACCATCCTTCTTGCTGTTACTCTTTGCCCAGGAATATTCCCATCTCTGGGCCTTTGCACTTGCTCTTTCTCCTGACATGAACCTTCATCACCTAGACATGCACGTGTTCACTTCCACAGTTCCTTCAGGTCTCTGCTTAAATGTCCTCTCATCCTAAAGAACTTTTCTGAGGACTTGTTCCTCTGTCCCTTTACTTTACCGTATTTCTTACTTAGCATTTATCTACATGTGACATTTTTCTGTCATTGTTTTTGTCTGTCTTCCCCACTAGAATTTAAGCTCCATGAAGGCAGGAGTTTTGCTTTTTTTCTTCCCTTCTCTATCCTCAACACCTGCCTGAGGCAGTGACGTGTGGCCAGGATCTAGATTTTTTAGTTCTGAGTCCAGTGCTCTTTCCAGATTCTGTGTGGCGTTCATAAGTGTTAAGTTCCTTGAGCACAGTGATTACATCTTTTATTTCTTTTGCCCCGTTCCTCCTAGGGTATAAGACTGTGTACTCAGTGCGGGGTTCCATGTGCCTATTAAATGCTGTGGCATGACTGAATGACTTCCTGTGCTTGTTGTGGTCTGTGGTCAACTTGGATCACAGATTCCCTCAGGGTGTACTTCACTCCTAGTAGGAATAAAAGACAGGCTGCTGTTACACTCATCAGATACACGGTGGCATTTGGAAACTGCAGGCAGTTTGAGTGAACAATCCGACACAATAGGAGTCTAGTTCTCAACAAATAGATTATTTATATTCTGAATTTTGAAAATTTCATATAACTGTGTCAGTTTAGGTGAGAGGGTTAGAGGGAAGGGCCCGGTGCTGGTTTAAGCCTGAGTTTTGTTTTTTCCTTTTTTGCAAGATGTTGGTATTTCTGCACTTAACCATCCAATGTTCTTAAGAAAATGTGTTCCAGATATGTTCTTCTGCAAATGAGACAGCATGTTTGGCTTGGATCTTTCCAGAGCAACTACTAAAGGGCCCCTGAATTTTATTTTGAAAATTTTTGTTCTCTTGCCTGTGAAGCGTTTTAGGTGACCCCGGTAATCCTGATTGTCTCTTCCTTGTTTTTACAGGTGATCTGCAACTCTTTCACCATCTGTAATGCAGAGATGCAGGAAGTCGGTGTTGGCCTATATCCTAGGTATGGTGGATGGTGTTTCATTTACTGCAAGAAACATCTTTAATTCCCACCCAGCTCCCCAGCCTTTTGGAGGTGGTTAGGCTGTTATGGCAGCTGGTTCAAGAGCCAAGCTTGAAACCTAATGAGAAAATGCAAAAAATGGAAAATGTTAAATTTGAAGAAAACAATTTTATAACCCCACATTATATGCTGTGGTATTAACAGAGGCAGACTTCAGGCCTAAATTCTTGTTCTCAGGAACTTTGGGGTAAAAAGTTGGATTGTGGGTGCTAATAAACCGTCAGGCTGAGACTTGCTTATCCCCTCACCCCTGCCCTGGTCTTATTCCCCAGCTCCTGGGCTGAAGCACGTGATTATTTCACCAGACTTGCTGTACTGAACCAGCTGGGTTCATTTTGTCTTTTGTCTTAGCATACTTGGAGCCCCACTGCTCTAGGAGGCAAGAAAACTTTCAGGGTTTGGCCCTCTGAAGTGCCCTGTCTATCACTGAGGTGACCTTTACGACTGGGCTACTGGACTGTCCTTCCACAGCACTCCAGACTCACTCCTAGTTTCATCTTATTTTCTTGCTGTTAGGGTCCAAATATAAATATAGTCTTTCTTAGAATGAACTGTGAATCTGAGAATTCAGCTTCTTTTCTTAGTTCTCACAAGTATAATGGACTACAAGTCTATCAATATTCAATAATGGGTATTGGTTCAGAGCTTAGGCTCTGAGTTCAGACAACCTGGTTCAAATTCAGTCACCACTTACTAGTTGTGTGTCCTTGGGCAAGTCATTTAACTTCTATGTATCAGTTTCTTCATCTGTAAGTATTCCTGCTAAGATTATTGTGATGATTGAATTTGATAAACATGCTCAAGTGCTAAGAAAGTGCTTTCTACATACTGAATGCTCACTTATAGTTATTCTAATTATTATCAGATATGGTGACAGCTTAAATGCATTCCCTTCCCAGATGGTAAAAAATGCATCTCCACAGTACTAAAATGTCAGGAGCATGGCCCAGAACTCGTGAGGATCTAGTTAGCAGGATAACTTAGCTTTCTGTTGAAGAGGAAGTACTCCTAATTATTCTTCAGTGTAGCTGTGGATGTTCTAGCAGAGATGGCCGTTCCTCCAAAGGAGCTCAGCAAATGAGATCCTGTGTGGGGAAGGTCAGTGGCATCTTGGCTGCAGACTGCTGCATCCCATCATCTCAGAGATTATTTCTTTGCAAGTCAGTTTTTTCCCATCTTCATGTTGGGTTCCCTTATTGGCTGGTTTCTAATGAGACGACTACCTCCCTACATCCATGCCCAAAAAGGACTCAGAAAAATGTTTTTATGAACAAACTTCCCTAATTAGCCTCCATCTTGGGGAGCATTTCACTTAAATAAAGTGGGCTAGTGACATTTCTGCGACTTCCCAGAGCACTCAATCCCTGGTGCACTGTCAACCTTACCTGTCCCCCTCCCCCCAAGCTAAAGTGTCTTTTGCCCAACATATTCGTTAAATTTAGATGCTTGACTCGAGCTGCCGAGCCATGATGGTCTCCCTCTTATATTTTGTTTCCTCCAGTATGTCTTTGCTCAATCACAGCTGTGACCCCAACTGTTCGATTGTGTTCAACGGGCCCCACCTCTTACTGCGTGCCGTCCGAGACATTGAGGCGGGAGAGGAGGTAAGGAACCCGTGTTTCCCACTGCCTGGCTTCCTTTTCCATCAAAGACCCTCTCAACGTGGCCCTTCCCTAAAACCAGTTGTGCCTGAGGGACAGCTTTTCATTGTCCTTCTGCCAAGGAGAAGATATATAATACCTCTGCCCAGTGACCAATTTACCCATCACTGCTCCTCCCAGATTATGGAGGGGCTAACTTTTGTTTTAGTCACCATTTTTGTGGATGATGACAGTTCCTATTGTATATGTATGAGAGAGAGATGTTTGTGTGACAGAGTGTGTGTGTTTGGTGCATATGACAGTTCAGCAACCTCTCACATCTCTGCAAGTGGTTATCCTTTTATGGGCAAGGAGGGCACCCCAGCTTGTGAGTGAGATCCCAAGGGCTTACTTATTCCAAAGGCCACTAGTCGAATTTTGAAGGTGACTTGTTTTTACCGTCATGTTAAGAGAGCAAACAAGTTTTACTCTTTCAGGTTGTCATTGGGCCATTCCAAACTGATCAGCATCTCTGGGTGATTGTCCAAAGATGCAAAGGGAATAGAGGACAGGAGTGTGACCTCCAGCGGTGAACTGGCTTTGACCCTGCCCGTTTTGCGGACTGCCAAGGCGGCCTCTTTTGATGAGGAACCGTCTCAGAGTTCTGAGGTCTCACGAGGCAGCTGCAGATGGGCTGCCCCAGGGCTGTGAACCTGAGCCTGCACAGCATTTGCACAATTACTACCCTGAATTCTGGGTCATAGATACTTATGCTTTTTAGAACCCAGTTTCCTTCTACCTTCCAGTTTGCTAAAGTGGATATTTATTGCAAGGAAAACAGAGTATCGTAAGCTTTTATTGTGTTTATGCAGCACTCAGCCAATAAAACCTAGACTCAGAGGTACCATATTTTATGTAGACAGGGATTCAGCTTTGATAAGACTCCCTCCAAACTGATTTTCAACTGAATAAGCTGTCTCTTATACAGCCACTTACTGAATTTCCAGTTTTTAGGACCAGTGTACCAAGTACACTGAGATATCTGTCAACAATATGGGGAGTTTAGATGTTCTTTGTATCTGGGGCCATATATGACTTCAAGGCAGGTAAGGAAGGGAACTACTATCCATTTGCAGCAACATTATTTTGGGGGCTGAGCGATGGCTGCTGCTGTTGGTGATGATGATGATGATGATGCTGCTGATGATGCTGTTGTTTTGCTAAATTAAAAGCAAACGTAAGAACTATTAGAAATGGTTGGAATTTTCAGAGACAACAGAGAAATTTCCGTAAGAAAATAGATATTTTCAATATGAAATATATATTCATATAACTCTTGTTTTCCAAGCTTGGCTGCGAATTATTATTCTTGGTTGATTTTCATTTAGTTGAAAAATGCCTGGTCTTTGGCGCTTGCTTCACTTTTTTCATGTCCCTTTCTTTCCATCTCTGGAGCAACAAGCAAGTCCATCCTCTTGCCTGACATAGAATAGTTCTGCTTAGCGTCAGGCCCTGCAGGCTCGGATGTGTTTCCCTGCGGTACTCATCAAAGCAACTTCGCATCAGAGAGAGGATTCTCCTCATGAGTCCTGCTTATATCAGCTTGTTCAGAAAATAACATTTCTTCCATATCATTATGCATGTCCTGATGGGTGATGCTGCGTCTGCTCAGTTGTCCTCCCTCTCTCTGCCCACCATTTCTACCCATCTTAACGCTGTGCACCCTTCAAGGCCCTCTCAAACACCATCTCTGCTAGAAAGCTTTTCCTTCCACATTAAAGGAACATCTTTGCCTCTGAGATATGCCTTGTAGTGGTTATTAATATTTCTTTGGTGTTATTCTGGCTCTTTTGGTGACCGTTCAGCTATGGCTTCTTGAGGACAGGAAATTGTGGCTTACTTCTGTATCTCCTCTAGTACCTAGTACTTTGCTTTGCCCCCAGGAGGCATTCAGTAACTCTTTGTTGAATCGACTTTCTGTTAAATTGAGCATACTGTAAAAACCAGCAGTGTTTCTCACTGAGGGCACTGTTGACATTCCAGATGGAAAGTCGTTCATGGTGAAGGACTATTGCATCATTGAAGAGGGTTGGTGTCCCTAGTGCCTGCTCAGTTAATGTCTGTAGCCTCTCCCAACACCTAAAATACGTCCTACACATTTAAAACTGGCCCCTTGGGGCAGAGGTAGGGGAGAGGGAGAACATGAGAAAAGACATTTTGAGGTTAAGAGGGGTGATCAAATTGGATAAGGAAGTAAATTTAGAAATTTTGGTAATTTCATACATCTTTACCTTTTGGCTTTATTGCTCATTAGGGCACTCCCCATTTTATATATGCTATTTGGGATGAAAGTGCCAGAATGTAGGCTCCATGAGGGCAGGCTGCATAGTGCCTATAACATAGAAGATCCTTGTTGAGTGAATGAATGAGGCTTGCTAAAGGCAAAACCAGAGGTGGAAGAGAATCTTAGAGCCACTTTGAAACTACCACTAATCCTCAGGTGTGTCCCAAGGGCCCCAGAAAGAAAGTAACATGAAAGCCAGTCCAGTGCCAATTCGAGATGGGAACATTTCAAACCTCAGACAAGGAGAGCTGGAAAATTACACAGGGTTCCACAATAACAGAAATCACCATGGACTTTTCTTACCCTTTGTTTCTCTCCACAGATCACTTTTGGACCATTTCCCTTCAAACCAGCACCATTTGTAACACTTTGCTATATAAGGATTTTTATTGTAATGCTGAGTTGTTGGGTCCTTTTTGGTTTTGGGTTTTTGTCTCCTCCTCCAACACCTCTTACAAGGAGATCTTTGTTTATGGCTTAAATCATGGCTCACATACTGGATTGCTGATGGCTTCCTCTTCAGGGTTATGTTAAGCTATGAAATACATATTATGGTCTGACAATCTTCCAAAACATGGATCAGGGAAGAAAGCTGGACAGTCTAGGCCACCCTGATGGGAATTCCTGGTTAGAAGAGTTATAGCTGTTATAGATGATGTCATTGTCTTGTAGCATTCTCTGGAGCCATGTCAATTGGGAGAAATGTGATCTGCATAAATTGAGCCTATCAGTATCCCTAATGGCAGTTTTAATGTAAAATGTTTTGGGGCTAGAAGAGTCTGTTTATTCTCAGTTATCTTTACTCATTTGCTAAGTCATTTAACAAATTCACTGCATGTTTACTGGGTGTCATGTACTGGGATGGGCATTGGGAATACAAAAGTGAGTAAGGCCCAGCCTCGCTTTCAGGAGTTCAAGATATAATTGGAGAAATGGACATAGAACAGAAAACAATAATAGAATATGAGAAGTACATTAGTATAGATGTGCATAGGGCTTTATAGGTGTTCAGAGCAGGGGTGCCCAAATGGAGGTAAGGGGCAGGGCTTGGGAGTGGTAAGGAAGGCTTCTGGAGAAGTGACTCCTAGACTCTTGAAGGATCCATAGGGTTAAAGTTGGTTAAGAGAGGGGAAGACATTCCAGACAAAGACACAGAAGTCAGAGACAGAATGGTGAGTTCAAGGAGCAGGAAGCAGTTCAAATCAATAGATTAAAGAATACACACATGACCAGCAGATGAAGGAACATGCAGGGACCAGACCGAGGAACCCAAGGGAGTTAAGGAACTCAGTTCATCTGAAGGTTCCATAACAGTGCCCAGTGTATAGGAGGCACTCAGTAAATATTTGTGAAAGGGAGGGGGCAGGCAGTGAGGTGTCACTGAAGAGTTTAAGCAAAGGATCTGCATGATCAGATTTTCTGTGTGTAGACGAAGTTGGGAATGAGGGTCAGGATGATGCAGTAATCCAGGCAAGCAGTAACAATGGTGGCCTGAAGACAGAGGAAATTCAGATGGTGGCTCATGCTGGAGGATCTGAAGAATATAATATTTAGAAGCTAAAAATTGACTGGCTACAAGGGGGTGACAAGGAGAAGAGACAACAATAACACTCAGGTTTGACTTTAAAAAAAAGTTAAGATTTTTTTTCGGTGCAGAGCCAGTATTAGCAGAAAAATTTATAATTGTGACAATGTAATTCCAGAAATGAAAGCAAACTCTGATTTTAGTTTTTTATGGTCTTCTTATCCATTCAGATGTACGTAATGAAAAGATGGGCTTCATGGTAAAGAGGTTCATTTTGCCTTGAGATTTTCAAGTAAGCAACATATTCAACATCCAGCAAATATCTTTCACGATATTACTCTAATGTTGGAAATGATTTACTGCATTTTCCATAAGAGCTGTACTAAAATGGCAAAGCAATGGTCAGTAGCATTAATATTTTAATGTGATTTTGTTCTATGCCATTAAAGCAGCCACTGATCAATGGCAAAGTTTCATACATAAGTTCCCACTAAATGAGCCCTACATTTACTGAGTAGACTCTCCATTAAAACTGGTGAGTCAATGAGTCTTTAATAAAGGTTTTTATCTTTGGCTGATAAAAATGATTTAGCCTTCATTACTAGTTAGTTATCTGGCTATGTTTTTTTCCCAAAAAATATGAATAAAATTATTCTTGCCATTGAGACCTTCAGCTTTGATATGGTGTATTTTGTGAACTTCAGTGGCATGAAAGAGACACAGAGCGGGGCATGGGGCAGTCTTCACTGGAAGAGGTGTATTTGAGCCAAGCTTGAAGGATGGGAGAGCTCTGAATAAGCTGAGAGTGGAGGAAGGGGCATTGGCTATCCAAGGTAGTGATGTACGATACACGTTGGCATGGTGTGCATGGTTTAAGAGGTGTTGCAACGTGTATAATTGTGACAGACAGTAGGGAGCAGGAAGAGATGTTGAGACTAGAAAGGCAGACAGAAGATCAGTTGGAGAATGGAAGCCTTGTATGCCTTTATCCCATAGACAGTCAGCCCCCATCAGAAATCTTCGCGTAGAGAAATGACATGATCAGCTGAGAGTTTTAGGAAGATCTCTCTCAAAGTAGTTTAGAAGATGAAAAGGAAACTGAAGGCAGGAGGGAGGCCAGTGAGAAAGCCATTGCATAGTCCAGGTAGTAGTTACAGGACAGTGAGGGAGGCTAGAGAAGCTTATTTATTGCGGTTAAATCAAATCACTAGTCTTCTGTTGCCCCTTCGGTGCCTGGCATGATCACTGATGAGTTTTGGCCCTTGTAATAAAGTCTTCGGTTAGTCAAGCATGTTTCTCTGCTGTGGCAGACCCTGGATTTGTTGGCTTCACATAGCACATTGTAATCACCCAGAAACTACTGCTGATCCATCTGATCTGATTTGAGAGCTGGGGCTGGTGACTGAGAGCCATTGGGCTGAATCGAGAATTAGGGTCCTAGAGTTAACCCAAGAGGGCACACAGAGATCAGCTCATTTCACCATCTCACCTCATATAAGGAAACTGGGCCCTGAGAGCCTGATTGACAACAGATGTTAGCCCAGGGCCAAACTTCCTCAAAGAAAAAAAAAAGCTATTCTCCCCTACGGCCCCCCTCGAGGTATAAGAAGCAGCTGTTTTATTGTAAAAAGAGCATCAGACTTGAATCAAGAGATGTGGGTGCAAGTCCCAGATGGATTGCAGACCTTTGCTGATTCTCACTGTCTCCCGCTGCCTCGCTGGGTGACTGCCTAGCGCAGTAGATGTTCAAGAACGCCATTGCCTACATTTCTTAAGGCGGACGCAGTACTCTTGTTTCTGTGTATGGAGCAGCATGTTACAGGTGAGTAACACGTGAAGGGTCTGCAGAGAGCCAGCTGCCGGATCAGGATGTGGCTTCTGTCACCCTGGGGATGGCCATGGTAGATTAGACAGCACTGGCTGGCCAGACAGGCCTCCTTCCCCCGACTGCTTTAGTGAGGCCCTCCCGAAGCTGTGTTTTCTGTCAAAGATGATGGCCTTCTCCGCCCTACCGTGCTTTCAAACAAGTAAGATCATGCTTTGTAGACATCACATGCTTTAAGTCCAAGAAAAACCACATGGAGGTTTTGCTCTGGGGACTGTTTGTCGTCTCCTTTATAGACAGTCCTGCCTTCCTCTCCGACAGCATTCCCTTCTTCCGCCACCACACATACCCTCGGAATTACTTTCTACGTGTAAAAGTGAATAAAGCAGTAATTTACATTACAAGCTGACAGATGTTAGAGAAGAAGAACTAGAGGCGAGTGGGTGGGGAATTCGGAGCACTGGGGTGGGGTGGGAGTTGGGTTGTTATTTTGATTAGGGTGGTCAGGTTAGACCTCAGTAAGAAAGTGCGATTTGGTGGGAGCGCAGAAGAGAGGAGGTAGATCACCGTAGTAGTTCTGGGGAAGAGCAGAGGAAACAGCCAGTGCGTAGGCCTTGGGGTGGGAGTGCGCGTGGAGAAGAGGCAGGCTGGGCTGGCGAGAGCCAGGAGAAGGCAGGGAGAGGGGGAGAGGAGTTCGGAGAGGGGGCAGGGCTGGAGTATGTGAAGCCATTGTTGCTCCCACTCCTTGTCATGAAGAATGAGCTTATTATTATTGTTATTATTTTTCCCCTAATCCATTGCAGACTAATATTTTTGTAAAATTTAGTGAAAATGAATTACTAGAAAAGTGGAATTTAAAAAGTGTATAAAGTAAAAGCCCGATGTTTTATTATTAGAGTCACATAAGATTTCCCTTACCAAATTGCTATCCAAGTTTCTAAATGTTAACTTTGCGTTTCTTTACTCATTTCATCGTGGCCTAGCAACATCACAGACTAGCAACTCTCCAGGAACCACACTTTGAGTTGTTCTGTGGGAATCCATTGTAAGGACTTGGCCTTTACTCTAAGCAAAAGTGTTGGGGGGTGGCCTTTGGAGCATTTTGAACAGAGGAAAGATCTGCCCTGACTGTTTTTTAAGTAAGTCACTGCTGGAGGTTGGAGTGCAGGGGCCCAGGGGAGAAGCAGGGAGACCTGCATTTTACAGGCAAGAGATGATGGGGGCTCAGACCAGAGCGGTAGCATTGGAAAAAGTGCAAAGGAGTTGCTTCTGGATATTTTTTTAAGATTGAGCCCACAGAATTTCTTAGTGGATTGAATGGAGAATGTGAAAGAAAGAGAGAAGTCAGGAATAACTCCAAGATTTCTTCTTGGATAACACACAAGATGAATTACTGTGATCTGCGATTGGGAAGGCTCTAGCTGAGAGAGAGCAGGTCGGGGATCAGGAGCTCTGTTGTGTATTTTGGATTAGACTTTGAGTGCACAGGAGATCCAGTCAAGTGAAAAATGTTTTAAACATCATCATTTGCCTGAAGGCCTATGTCATGAAGTGGAATCTTAGAGCTAGAGAGAAACCCGAGGAGTCCCTCAAGTGTGCCCTCTCACCTATGACCTTTCGCCATCCAGGACAGGGCATAGTTACTGCATTTGAAAGGGTCCAAGGAAGTCCATGTAAAAGCCTCTGTCAGTGATTACATTCTGACATTAAATTCTCCCTATTTGGACATTATTCCACCTTTTAAAAAGAAATCTAGTCACAATTAAGAGAACTGTCTCCTAATTTCAAAGATCCCAAACTTGGTTGACCTTAAATGCTGTGAGGCAGCTATAGAATTGGTTAGGAGTTAAGAGCAATCTGGCTCTATCATCTGCCACCCATTTGATTGCCAGGATTAATTTGGGCACTCTGATTACCAATGGTTATGGAATTTATTGCCAAACGTTAGTAAGACCAAACATAGAAAAGCTCTTGATATTTTACTGTTCAGTGAATAAAAGGTAAGATGTAAAAATGTATAAAGGTCATGAGCCCAGTTCTTTAAAATAAATACATGATACACATGTGCTGACTGCATAACAAAGACAAGAAGGTGGTGCATTAAAAATGTTATTTGTGAGTATTTTGATAGAGGCACTGTAAGTAGTATCTTCTCTCTTACACTTCTTGGTGTATAATAAAAACATGTTCTACTTTAATAATTAGCAATAATGATAACCATTTGTTAAAGACAATGAGCACAGCAGTCATATGACTCCATTCCTCTCTGGCCTCCACAGCTTACCATCTGCTACCTGGACATGCTGATGACCAGCGAGGAGCGCCGGAAGCAGCTGAGGGACCAGTACTGCTTTGAATGTGACTGTTTCCGATGCCAAACCCAAGACAAGGTGTGTTGTGTGGAACCAGCTTGGAACATCTCCCAGGCAATAGCCCAATGATCTTTCAGAGAACTCTCCTTTTATTTCATTAACCCAAAAGTAAACAACCCTCTCTGCATAGTAGGAAACACAGGTAAATAAAGTGGTGCATTGTGCCACATACATTTTATTTCCTGGAACTTTTATCACCCACCAGACAATAAGAGGTTTAATCTCAGGTAAGGATCTGTGGAACTGGGAGTCTAGAGGGAAGGTAGGCATTAAACAGGCAGTGAAAAGGGTGTTGAAGGCAGAGTGCTATTAGAGCTGTCACAGGACGGTTGAGTTACATCATGACTGCAACAGCTCTTGCTCAGTAATAAACACACCAAGTTGTAGCTAGTTTTTTATGTCTTTAAAATTTATTCTCTGAGGCGTTTTGCTTCAGCACTTTATCAGATGGAGATCACTTATCTAGCAACTTTTACTCTTTGAGAAAGGAAGAAGAGCCAAAATAAATGCCATAAAGAGAAGGAATGAACTTTTCTCATATTACTCATATGCTCTCCTCACATTGAACCTGTTTACTTTTAGTTTTCACACCATCAGGTTATCTGATGAAATCTGACTTTTGTAGAGTGCTTTTCATTTGTTGGAATTCTTTTGTAATCATTATCTCATTTGAACTCAATAATTATAAAGGAAACGGAAGTGAGAAAGGTTCGGAGATGTGCCTCTAGGACAGAATGAAGGAAAAAGTGGCAGAACCAAGTCTCAAACCCAGCTGTTTTGATTAAATCTAGTGCTCTTTCAGCTATACCACAACTACCTGTGACTTCCAATGCCAGCATCAGTGGAGAGAGGTCGTTGGTTTCACTGCAGGAGCGAGGACCACGAGCTCATTCTAGTGATGCAGGAATCAGTGAAGATGATCAATTTTTTATTAAAAAGAACTTTTAGAAATAAGTGAACTAAATGGGAGAAGTTGGATCCACTGCTAATAGCTCCCCAATATTCAAGCCACGTTAGCGTTAGCCTTTTGCCACTCACAGGCATGCCAGGAGTCGTGGGGGATGCCCTGGGCTTTCTCCCCAGGCTGTAATCTGGAATGGCAGGCAAGCTAGCTTCCCACCAGCATCCTTGGTTGGGAATGGGAAAACTTTGGGATTTACTGCCTTTTACATGCCATCTATATGGCAGACCCACAAAAATGTCTTGAATAAGTGCTTATATTTTATTAAAATTGGGGTTATGATCACTTTCAGTTTATGTTTATAGTTGAAATCTGGCTAGAATAGTGTATTAGGAAAGAGTTTGGATACAAATAACAGATAACCCAATTAAAACTGGCTCTAGTAGGTGGGGTGTATTTGTCTCAAGAATCCTGGAGAAGCAGTCCAAGATGGGAGCAGCTGTTCGTAGATCTCATCACAGAATCCTTCTGTCTTCCTCCTGGGCCATCTCTGCTGTCCCCAGCCCCCAGTCCGTGTGTCCAAGCTCTAGACATTAAAAAGAAGGGGTAGTAGGGCAAGGAACAATGGGAAATCTTCCTAGGCGTTTCTACCTACATCTTATTGTTCAGAACTATGTCACATGACCACCTTTGGCTGTAAAAGAGGTGAGGAAACTGCACTTTAGCTTTTCAGCTTTTATACTAGAGGAAGACGAGGGTGAAGAAGGCTGTGAATGGCTTTTGGGTAGCCGACCTACAGTGTTTGCCATATCCATTGAGACCAATTTCTCTCCTCCCTTGAGCTAGAAGTTTGTTTAGTATTGTATTAGGATTCTCCAAAGAATGAGAACCAACAGGGTGTGTGTGTGTGTATATCTATATATATATAGAGAGAGAGAGAGAATATGAACGAGAAAGTGAGATTTATCATAAGGATTTGGCTCATGTGATTGTGGAGGCTAAGGCCTACGATCTGCAGTCAGTAAGCAGGAGATCCAAAAGAGCTAATAGTGTAGTTCCAGTCTGACCCAGGAAGAGCCAGTGTTTCAATTTGAATCTGAAGGTAGGAAAAAAATGATGGCCCAGCTTGAAAGCAGTCAGGCAGGAGTTGTTCCCTCTTACTCATGGTAAGGTCAGCCTTTTTGTTCTGTTCAGGCCTTCAGCTGATTGGGCGAGGCCCACCCACATTGAGGAGAGCAATCTGCTTTACTCAGTCTGCTGATTCAAATGTTAATCTTATCCCAAACACCTCACACACACCCCCAGAATAATGTTTAACCAGATGTCTGGGCACCAAGCGGCCCAGTCAAATTGACACTAACAGTAACCATCACAGATATTGTTAGAGATAGGCCAAATGGTATAATCAAAAAAGAGTACTCAATTACTCTGCTGGATTCTAGTCCATTCTGTATCTAATAAATTGAATAGTCTTTGGAAAGTCATTCAACTTCTCTGATTTGTTCTATCATCTGTAATACAAGGAACTGAAACAACTCAATAGCAAAAAAAAAAAAAAAATACAATTTAAAAATGGACAGAGGAACTGGATAGACATTTTTCCAAAGAAGACATACAGACAGCTAATGTAGCTGCGACAGATATATGAAAAGGTGCTGATCACCACTAATCATCAGAAATGCAAATCAGAACCACCATGAGATATCACCTCACCTGTTGGAATGGCTGTTATCGAAAAGACAGACAGTAGGGGCTGGCCCTGTAGCTGAGTGGTTAAATTCTCACGCTCCACTTCAGTGGCCCAGGGTTTTGCCAGTTCAGATCCTGGGTGCAGACATGGCACCGCTCTTGAGGCAATGCTGACGTGGCGTCCCACATAGCACAACCAGAAGGACTTACAACTAAAATATACAGCTATGTAGTTGGAGGCTTTGGGCAGAAGAAGAAGAAGAGAAAAAAGAGGAAGATTGGCAACAGATGTTAGCTCAGGTGCCAATCTTAAAAATAAATAAATAAATAAAGAAGACAGAAAATAACAAGTGTTGGTGAGGATGTGGAGGAAAGGGAACCCCTGTGCACAGTTGGTGGGAATGTAAATTGGTGCAGCCACTATGGAAAACAGTATGGAGGTTCCTCAAAAAATTAAAAATAGAACTACCGTATGATCCAGCAATTCCACTTCTAGGTATCTATCCAAAGAACATGAAAACACTAATTTGAACAGATACCTGCACCCACATGTTCAGTGCAGCATTATTTACAATAGCCAAGACATGGAAGCAACTTAAGTGTCCATATTGATAGATGAACGGATGAAGAAGATGTCGTATATATTTTATATATATATATATATATATATATAAAATAGTATCTTTATCTATTTATATAATATAAATATATTATATATGTTATATATAATACAATATTATTCAGCCATAAAAAAGAAGGAAATCTTGCCATTTGCTATAACATGGATGGAGCTTGAGGACATTATGCTTAGTGAAATAAGTCAGACAGAGAAAGACAAATACTGTAGATAACACAAGGGCAATTAGACTAGGTGGTCTTAAGGCCCCTTCCAGCTCTATTATCCCATGTTTCCTAGTGGAAGTGAGTAGGGTATATATTTATATGAGAATATACACTTGATTTCAATTAGTTTGTCATTATATTTTTAAGTTTCTATTTGAGAATTTTGTTCTGTTTTGTGATATAAACATTCCTTCTGAAATCTCTATACTCTTGATTTGCTTTGAAAAAATAATACATAGGTAAATTCAGCTTAGTGTATTCCTCAAAGATCATAAATTCAAAATTACTTCAGTCAAAATTAAATTTACTTTAGTTCCTAGATTTAAAGTTTTCAAGATTATTTTTCTGCTTTTCTTGGAACCTAGAAAATTCATTTCAACAGGTTTCTGCATCAAGCACTATTTGTTATGTGCCTACATCAGCATGTTACTGGACTCGCCTGGGACCATGTTTTAGGAAGGCCAGCGGCCTTGTGATAGTGGATGTCATTTGCATGTGTGGAGTTAGTTGTCGTTTGTAATCAGCAGCAGCTTAATTTGTAGAAGAAATAAAACTTACCTTCTGACATACGTTTCAGGGTAATTTGGCTTCTCCTGTGACTTGCCCAGGACAGAATCAAGGCAATGGAAGCAGAACAGAACAAATGGAGTTGGTTGTGTCCATAAGTTTGTGGATGGCACGTAGCGTGCTTCCTTGGATGCCATGTGCTTTGTTGCAAAAAAGCTATTTTTACTTGCATGTCACTTTGTTTTTCATAAAGCCTGTTATGTTTGATCCTGTTTTTCAATGTACTAACTGCCCTATTGCCTCATTGTTAGATTGTTGAAATAGCTCCTGAGTGGTCACCTGGTCCTCAATTTCTTCCCGTCCATCCATCTTGTGCACTGGTTTAAGAGCAAGGTTTCTTAAAAACCACTGTTTCCATGTCATTGCTTTGCTCAGAACTTTTGAAGTATTTAGCATTATCTTTAGTGTTCAGGGTAAACTGCAAACTCTTAGCTTGGCCTTCGTTGTCCTCTGAAGTCATGATCCCAAGATCCAGCCTGCCTTTGTCTTTTGTCTTTTTTCTCATCTCTTCTCTTTTTCCACTTGTTTGATCTAATTATACCTTTTCCCTCACCCAAAAGATTCTGAAGTGGCTTACAGGCACACATGCACACGTATACACATGTAGATATAAATATATTCCTGTATATACACTACAACAGCAATAAATTTTTATTCATGTGTGAAATGAGTGATAATAAATAAGATGAAAGCAGGTTAGTACCCAGAGGGCATGCCATATGATCATGTACAGTGACAGGAAATAATCACAGATTGTCTCTAAATTTCCCAGCAGCCAAAGCTAAAAGACTAAGTTTAGTGTTTACAGTAGCCGTAAGAGTGAATGCACACTCAGTCCTTGGCCGAAGCACAGTGTTTCCCGTCACTGGGGCCTGAGGCGCTCCCGAGGGGCCCTGAGCCTGAGTGGTCAACATTCTTACAGACTTTCCACAATGACTTAAATGGCTGACTTTTACAGTAGCCCTCAATGTGGCTGATGGACATAATTTCATATTATAACTTAATAAAAGAAGCAACA